ATTCACAAAATTTAAAATTTTACTTATGAATAAAACAAAATCTATGTTCTACAGTGCCAGAATTAAATATCTGAACAATTTTGTAAACTCCTATAGACCTGAAGAGATATCCATGCTGAAGAGACTTGGTCAAGCTCTAAAGTAAAGTGGAAGTTGTTAATTCTGGAGATTTGTACCAACCAGTAAATTTTGTAAGAACCAACAGGACGTTAACCAATTACCCTGATGAAAGCTTTCAATGCAAACTGCTGTAGTTTTTGGTACTCTGACTGAATGAATAGTGGGCTTCAGTAGGGAGTGCAATAAAATCAAAGAACCACAGCTAGTATAACAGTTTCTTTTTTATCTCAGTTGAAATAAAATATTGTGTTACTAGAATGTGTAAACTGTGAAGCCTAATAATATATTGTTATCCTAACAGGGCTACAGAAACCTGTTCTAACAATTATAACATGTAAACCCCTCAAGGGAGTTCCCAGAAAATGGCAGGCAATATTACAAATATTTTCAGTGGAAAGTACAAGAACAAATAAAATTCTAAAAGGACTGGGTTTAAATCACTCTTTAGAAATAGATAACGGCCAACTTCAAGTATTTTTATTTTCTAGAATAGCTTTTAACATACTAGATCTTGTCCATCTTCTTTTCCAACTTTTAATCGTAGCTCTATTTGTGAACATCTTTTCTATGTACAATATAAAAAATAACAAAAAAAGTTTGCGAATTAAATAACATTTTTTTATGTATTTTCAAAATTTTACAAAAATTAAAACGTTTGGATATAAATTTTTGTAATTTTAAGCATCCATACACCTTCCTTGAGGTAATGTGAGCTCCCACATGAAATTTGAGCCCAATCAGTTCAGCTGTTTTGCATTTATTTGATTCCATTGAACAAACAGACAGACAAGCAAAGTATAAATATAGATTTCAAACTGAACATATTCCTAATTGGAGTAATAACTATTCAAAGATTAGAAACACAGAATGAGAAACTTGATCTTGTTTAAAGTTTAAACAGTGGAATTTATCTAAATTCTTTACTATGTACAGCATTCTTTGATTTATTGTAATGCAGATACAGATGTTTGAAACCAAAATGAGAATATTCAAAGTTCTGAATATTAACATAACAAAGTTGAAAGTTTGAAACTGCAGGAAGGTATTCCTTATTTCAAATGTGTTAACAACTTTTCTCTCTCTTTCATAAATACATGTTTAACATCATCAACATTTCATGTTCCTTAAATTTCCCCTGGTTGGTTAGAATAAAATCATTTATTTTATTTTCTTTCTGAGAAAGATAATTTGTTCTCATAAAATATAACGCTCAAAATACATCAAAAGAAAATAAATATATTGTCCTTTTTTGTTTGGATTACTGAAATTAATAGAAAATCAATATTGGGTTAGTGTTTAGCCCTGTTTTGCTGGCAACCACTGCTGGCATTCTCTTCATACCAAATTTTGTTTCTATGGTAGAAGAGAAAACTACAGAATGTCCCAATAAAACCACTGCTGGCATTCTCTTTTTATCAAATTTTGATTCTATGGTAGAAGAGAAAGCTACAGAATGTCCCAACAAAACGTGGATAAATAAAAAGAGGTTTTTATTATACCAATAGAATAACTTGAAACAATATTGAAAAAAACTCTGATCGGAAAAAATATAAAAAAAATATCAAGTTCATTGATAAGACATATGCATGTATCTTGCATGTATCTAGTCTCTTTTCCCAAGTTTGTAAAAATTTATGAATTTACTAAATATTTGAAGTTTAGGATTTGATTTACATTGTATGTTAAATATTAAAAAAAAACTTTAAAGAGAAAAGATTTAAGAATATCTATTCAATTTTACATTCATATTTAGGATAAAGGTGATTGAAGAAACAAACAGTCTAAAAAGGTACACAGAGAAATAGAGAGAAACAACAGTTGAACAGAAATATATGAACAGAGATTCTGAAAAGATTCTCTGCTGATCCATAAAGCTACTGTTGCAGGAAGATTGAAGGCTCTAAATGAAAGGTTTTTGTTCTCAAGAGTTCCACTAATCCACTTCAATTTAATTACATCTACTCAACTGACCAATTCTGTAATTCAAACTTTCATTTTTAGTTTAGATGTAACCAAGGAAACACTATCAAATAACTTTAACCCCCTTCCTTTACCAAGCATGCAAACTCATATTCATTTGTATGTTACAGCTTTTAAATAAAGATTATCATTTTTGTATGTATATCCTTCTTTTATTTTATTTTGTTAAACATCAAAAAAGAATTTTGGAAAAGAAAATCCAATATCCTAGAAATTGTTGTCTATTAATACTAATATGAACAAGTAAACTTGTTAGTGCAAATATATTATTAATACAATATTTTGCAATGAAGTTAACAAATACGAATCATGTATACATTCAGTACAACTGTATTTTACATCACTAATGACAATTCAATTTTAAGTCTCAGACAATATTTTTAAAATAATGATTGGTGATACATTTGATTAGAGTGCTTAGTTAATCAATGCAGTGGAAACTGTTGGTTTATGAAGTTTTCCTCTCTTCACAAAAGATGGTTGGAACTGTGTCACATTTGACACCAATGACATTTGCACAATTTCTTCAAAATTGTATTGTCAGCTACAGTACTTTTAATTTATTTGTGTTGATATATTTTAATATTTGCTGTGTTACATTTCTATTTATCTTGATAATGTTTCTAGAAATTTGGAGAACAATGTTGTTTAGTTTGTTTTATAAATTGCTGCAGAAATATTTGCACTAAATCATGAACTGCTAGTGTTACTTCTTACTAGGGTTTCCAGTGAACAAAAATTTCACAAAAAAATTAGAACAATTTGTTCATTTTCTTACTAAAAAATGCAAAAATTATTTGATAGTTTTATCCAGACAAAAAGTTTAAAAGCAGAAGAGTTTTCAGTACTTTTGGCATACATGTTTTCCTAGTTAGTTTTAAAGTTGTTGTAAACCATTTAAAGAAGCCTTCTAATTTTCAATTATTTCGATCAACTTTAACTCATAGTTTACACAAAAAATATGATTTTCCAATTGTTCTCAAATTTTCATTTTAAAATCACACACAAACTGGTAAGGGTTCTATCTCCATCAAAATTTTATTTTATTTTAGAGCTTTACTACATTGTAATTGTTTATAATTTAGTGAACATATAATTTTAGCTTGATTTATGGAACAAACTCTGCTAAATTTAACATTAATGTTTGCACACAATATTCAGATTAAAATTCAGTATTAGGAAAGAGAACTTTTTAACTGCTTAAAATATTTTAAAGACATTTTTAATTGTTTAATGTAAGTCTTAAAATGTTCACAAAATGAAAGGTTAACTTTTTTACTGTTATAGACCTTAGTCTCAAGGTTTTTTAAAACGGTTTCATGGTAAATTAAATTTTTTCAATTAAATTATCGGAATTTGATCTATTCTGGACAGATTAACCTATAAAATTTATTCTTATGCCAACATGAAAGGTTTTAAATAGCAAATATTCTTCATAGGAAATTGGTAAAATGAGTTAGATATAAAGGAATGATTTTTATATTTTAAAATTTCAGAAACTTTATTATCATTCAAATCTTCTATTTTTTTTTTTTAGTCTAGTGCAGAAATTTCAAATTTATTTTTCTTTAAACAAAGATTGCTGTACAGTTTGTTAAACTTTTCCAAAATAAATATCAGTCTTTCAAAAAGGTAATTGGTGAAAATATAAAATCATAAAAATAGGATTTTGAAAAATAAATCTTGTAGGTTTTTTTTCATCTTCCATTCAGAAATTCCAAGTTACTCTTATCAAAGAATTGTATTGAAGTCAGGGAATAAATTAACAAAGTTTTTATCAGTTTTTACGACTTTTCTGATATAACAGAATTGTCGGAGTAACTTTTCTTCAGTACTACATCTAGATACAGTTTTATGTTAAGATCTCAAACTTTTTCTAGATAATTTAGAAAATTGAGTTTCTCGTTATGGATTTTTTTACACATTTTCTTCTTTTTTAAGCCAGTTCATGTCCAATTTTTTATTTCTTTTGTCAAATCTTAAAATTGTAATTTAATTCTAAAAAGTATATATCCATGTATTTTCTTGATTAGATCTACCTGTTGTTGGCACTGTATGAAGTGTACGTGGTGTGTTTTGTGTTCTAAGTTAGGGTATTATGTGGTTAAGAAAGCAGATCCTTCATTCCTATCTCAAGTGTGAGAGCCAGCACAAAGGATTCTGTTTTTGCTTCTCTTCTTGTCAGTTTCATATCTTATAGAATGCACCTTTTAGAATTTTACTTCATACCAATGAAGCCCTGTCCAGATTGGTGTTAGTATGAACTGACTGCTTAGTTTTACATCTAACAACCTGAGTTTTTGCCACAAACTCTGATTTTCTAATCCCTGTATTCTTTGTAACCCTAATCATAACCCTTTCAATTAGGTCTACAAGCTAGAAATGTAAACAAATCAGAGATAAATCATAACAATGGATCGTGCATTGTTCATCTCAAAACCGTTTAAATGTCGACAACAAAGAGGAGACAATAAGAGATAAGGGAAGGAAGAAAAAAAAAGAGATAAGAGAATAGAATAGTAGAGAAGAGAAGAAAAGAAAAGAAAAGAAAAGGAAAGAGAAGAAAATAGAAGAGAAGAGAAGAGAAGAGAAGAGAAAGAGGAAAAAATAGAAAGGAAGAGAGAGCTTGTATTTTCTGACGTTTTATTATAAAAATATGTTTAAGAATACCTTCAACTTCAAAATTAACTTTACTGTAAAATTGTTAGATATTTTTGAAAAAAATAGTTGTCCTAACTTTTTAGCATACATTTTTTTGAGTGTTTAAAGAATTTTGATAATTTGGCATTTGATATTCTGATATTTTTGCAAATAAAATTGCATTTAAAAGTATTTCTGTTTTAAATCAAAAATTGAAAAAAAATCTATTTGGTTAAAGTCTACATTTTCTCTTTTTTCAGGTTTGTAAGATGGAGAGTATAGCAAGTCCCGTTCAAGATTCTGATACACTGGATCTGAGTAATCAGGAACTAGAGAAAATAACCAGGTAACAACAATGCTCAAGAAAATCCCATATTCAAATTCAAATTCAATATTCAACCTATTTAAAGCAGTAAAAAATCAAATTAAAACCAGTTTGATAGAATTTAATTAAAGAAAAGATACCAAGATTTGATTTAAAATACTAAATCAAGAATGAATCCTAGAAAAAGCTAAAAGGCCTATCTTGGAAAAGTAGCAATAAGAATTCTAAATTTTATAAATTAGCATATTTATGCTGATAACCATGTTATGTTTTGTATTTACTAAAATAGATTTCCTTCCATGTATTGAAACATGTTGCATGTCACAAGAAGTTAAATTTGTGCAATGTTAACTTTTTAAGTTAAACAGAGAATCTTCTGGAAGTCTCAAATTCATTGAATTCATTTATTTTCAATGGAAACTTTTTATGTTCAATGGAAACTTAACACTTACTTTTGCAATTGCTCATTTGCGTGAATTGATTTATTTTATGTACAATTATTTTTTTCCATGTTCTTTCTAGACTGCCCTAAATTCTTTTCAGTATTATTATCATTTAATCATCTAATTAGGCCTGGCATGAAGGTCTGGTTTCCAATATTCTGTTATACTTTGGGTTTTTGTGTAATTCAGTCTGTACCCCTAACAAACCAATATAAAGAGATATTCATCAAATCATCATACTGTTCTTTTATTCTTATTTATTCAGATTATATTTAGCAATAACAAGCATCTAATAAATTTATGATTGGATTATACGCATAATGAATAAAGAACTATGATTAGTATTATTTAATATTATTTTACTTGTTTAGAAAAAACAAACAGAAAGAATCTGAACAATTCTAAATATTCTTGAAGAACAGTCGATACTTCATCCAAAGAAAACTTTCAATTCAATTTTGAATTATTTCCACTGTGATTTAGAAATCAAGATTTACTTTGTTTTACTACCTTTACTTTTTTTCATATTCACTATAGATCTTTTGTATTCTTTGGTTTTATATCATATCAAAACTTTACACCACATTGATGGTTCTAATTATTTTTTTGTGATAGGTATGTTTGTTTGTTTTAATTGAAGTAGTATCAGATTTTCATGCTGCACCAAAGTCATCAAGACAAGAACACAAAATTTCCTTCATATTCTATGATGTGCAGCTTTAGCCAATATCTTCAATAATATATTTCTGTAGATGTTTACTGTTCAGATAGGATAACAGAATATTATATAAGATTGAATATTTTATTATATCTGATAGAGATAGATACAATTACCCTTTTCAAAAAATATATGTTTCAACTTAAATTGCAATGGTGCAAAGGAAATAGCATAACTTCTTATAATGTAAAAAAACAACAATCATTTTAAAAAATTGTTTTGATGGATATCTCTAGCCAGAGTGAAGATTTTTCTTTAGGTATATAGTAAGGGTGATTGATTTGTGACTTTTTTAGATATCAGCCAACCTCCCACTGAAGGTTGCTGCGTTTTAACTTTTAAAAAAATATTGTGAAAAAACAAATTTCAAAATTGTCTGTAGGGTTGTGAATTGACTATTTAATATAGGAGAAATTGCCGTAAGGCCTAACAACAAATATTTCAAAAAAGTAAATATGATACATCATTTTCATGGAAATTTCATGCTAAAATAATGTTTTGTGCTTCGCGCAAATTCCCCCCCCCCCCCCCCCCCCCCGCGTTTTTTTTTTTTTTTTTTCCTTCTTCTTTTTAAAAAAATTTTTTTTTTTCCCCCCAAAATCCCCCCCCCCCCCCCGGCTTAGATTTATTTCTGTCTACGCCCTTGACTGTATAACAAATTTTATATTCGAAAACCATTTTAAAAAATATTAAAATGTAAAGAAGTTATGGCCAAATGACGGTACTAAATTCCAGTTTTTTAAAGTGTTAATGTTTTTGATTTGTTTTTTTAGCTCTAAATCACTTCATTTTCATTCTTTTTAAAAACGCTTTTCAGATTTGAATTCAGCATTAAATTTCCAAGAAAATGATGTACATGAAAATAATAAAAAAATAATTTCATTGCCTTACAGTGAAATTTCCGATTATAAATCGTCAAATCGCAATCCTATGGACGATTTTGAAATTCTTTTGATTGCAATATCTTTTTTAAGTGAAAATGCAGCGACCTTCGGTGGTCGGTTGGCTCAATTCCAATATTGATCACCCCTAGTATACAGTATACAATTTTGGATTAGGTTAAACATCTCATATTATTGTTGAGTCTTTTACAAATTCAATTACCTTGAATGATTGAAAACGGGCCTCAAAATGATTCCTATCAGCAGTAGTTGTAATGTATTTGGTTTGTTTAAAGAGTATATATTACCAACTATTATCATATTGAGTGGAAATTAATATAACATTACACATTACAGGGTTATCTAACAATTCTTCAGCCATTATAAATATATTTTGAAGTTTCTAAGGAAAGCTTTATCAATCTTTGTTTTTATTTTCTAGAAGACATTTAAAGAATGAAGCTCATTAAACTCAATGCACTTACTTTTATGGTGTTCTTTCTTTGCATCAGTGTCATTAGGTTGTTTTTCTCAATTGTTTCTCTTAAGCATTTTAATTTTGTCCTCTAGTTGGGTTATGTATAAAGGAATTGAGTTTTTTCCACAAACTCTGATTTTTGAATCCCTTTCTCTTTGCAATCCAATAACATAGAAATTGATATTTTAAGGTAAGGATTCTGATAGATTAAATATTCTCAGTTTGAAATATCAAATGTGGACACCATCAGGTTGGAAATATATAGGGATTAGAAAATTATTGTTTGTGGCAAAGACTCAATTATTTTCTGAAGAAATTGAACAATCCTATTTCTATATCTTCGTACCCATGGATTGTGAAAACCTTTACAATTTCAAACTTTTTGATCTTCCAGAATTAAAATTTGAAATATCAAAATTCTACGACATCTGATTGCAAAGAAATAATGATCAAAATGTTTAGAGTGAAAGGTTAGTGACATCAGTTCCTATTTATAAATATAATTAGCGTGGCAAAATTGCTACAATTACCTTAATTCCAACTTTGTAATAAGAATTACCATTTTTGAATATAAAGTCAGCAATTGTTTTTAACTTCTGCCATAAATAACCAGTATTCCACACTAATCTCCAGGGGTGTAATATATTATCCAGTTTTACCTCAACTTTTTGGATTTAATTATCAATTAAGCGTTCTCTGTGGTCCTAGTACAATATATATTCAAATGTATTTTCAAGTCAAAGTAATTGAGTCTTTGCCACAAACTCTGATTTTCTAATCCCTATATCTTTGGAACCCAATGTCATAAACCTTTGATATTTCAAACTTATATTATTTGATCTAACAAAAGTGATAGTTTGAAATGTCAAAGGTTTGCAACGTTGGTATCCAACAATATAGGTATCATAAAATCAGAGTTTGTGTCAAAGACAATTCTTTTGTCTGAAAATGCTACAGCTAATAAATTAGGGTTACATATATCAATGAAAAGGGGATCAAATTGTCTTGAAAATGGCGCAAAGACAATGACTAGTTTATAATTTTTTCCAAAACAGCACCAAAACAGGACAGGCAAAAAGAAGTAAGACAAAATGAGAACCTGCAGATGTGCAGCTGGAGAAGGGAGGAACAAATAAATATATATTGACTATTAATTTTATAAAAGATTTAAAAAATAAATTGGTAAAAACTTAAAAATACCTTTTTATTACCAGAAAAAAAAATTCAGTAATATATTCAAAAGATGAAACTTCAAAGATAAACTGAAATTATATGAATACCTGAGGCACTTTTCGTAGGTCGGATGGGCATTTTTCGTAAGTCGGCCAAGACATGTGGCCGCAGCGCTCGGCCCCCAAGCCTATCCTAGCCGCAGCGCTCGGCCCAGAAATGAGCTTAACCTAACCTAACCCTAAATATTCACTAATTATATTAAAAACTGTTGAATTAAAGATCTTTCATGGCCGCAGCGCTCGGCCCCCTAGCCCGTCCTAGCCGCAGCGCTCGGCCCAGAAATGAGCTTAACCTAACCTAACCCTAAATATACAGTAATTTTATTAATAACTGTTGAATTAAAGGTCTTTCATGGCCGCAGCGCTCGGCCCCCTAGCCTGTCCTAGCCGCAGCGCTCGGCCCAGGAATGAGCTTAACTTAACCTACCTTAAATATACACTAATTTAATTAAAAATTGTTAAAATTATAGGTCTTTCCATGGCCGCATCGCTCGTCCCCCCTACAAAATTAGTGCCCATCCGACCTACGAAATATGCCCATCCAACCTACGAAAAGTGCCCATATGCCCATATGCCCATCCGACCTACGAAAAATGCCCATCCGACCTACGAAAAATGCCCATCCGACCTACAAAAAGTGACCATCTGACCTACAAAATTGAGTGGCGTCCGACAGCTACAATTAATTATTTCTACCCTACTGCGAGGCATGACAAAATAAGCTGCTGAATAGGTCGGATGGGCAAGAAGATATGCCCATCCGACCTACAGCTGTCGTAGGTCAGATGTTGCAGTAGGTCGGATGGGCAGTATAGTGGATGGGCAGTAGAGCGGATCAACATTACCATGTTTTTCTTATAAATCATTTCCCAATCACACATTGAAATCATTTCCTGCAGTTTGATTTGCTAGGGGAAATAAACGATTTTTGGGAATTGTTGAAAATGTTTACCCCTGGTTCCCATTGAACTCCACCTTCATGTAGAGCTCTATGGAATAAATTGTGCAATAAAATGAAATATCCTCTGGAGAATGTTTGTGGTGTAAAGAACATAAATCTAATCAAGTACTATCATCTAACATCACAACTACATAACAGTTCTTAGTCTCAAATCTAAGGCTAAAACATTTTGCTGGTATCTATAGTGCATTAAATTTAAGGGCAACTGAAGAAAAAAAGAAACTTCATGTCTTTTTAATTGTTTTTAAAAGGCTATAGCTTAAGTGAGACAAAAATACAAAAGTTGTTTGGTTTCTATACATGTAAAGAAAAAAATATTAACGTGGAAAGAAAAGCGCAAAAAAAAGGGCTTAAGATTGTTTTTAACTCAAGTCCAATTTACATTCATTTTCACCCAAAAAAGGCAACATTGCTAAATTTCTGTTTTAATTTTAGGGCTACTCCGCAACTGGTTCTAAACACAACAACATTACTGCTGGACAACAACAATCTTTCTAGACTTGACAACATTCATACCTATCAATGCTTGGAAAAGGTTAGTTCACTCTAAGAGTCAAAATATCCCACCTTTTCTTGACATTTTATCTGCAGAATGACCAGCCTGCCATTTTTAAAGCCAATTTTTCATATGCGCTCATCTGGAATTATAAGTTTTTTGAGCGATCAAAAAACCTAAATAAAATAATATTAAAATCTTTATACAATAACTGTTTACATACTTTTGTTTAAAATATATCCTTCCTAGAATTTTCCAATCTAGAAAAAACGGTTAGAGTTTCAAATATTTTTATTTTTATTTTGTTAAGATTTTTTATCAGTTTAAACTTAGTGCATAACAAAAGAATCTTTAAATTTGTTTGAACAGTATTAAAATGCAGAGGATCTTTAACTTTTTAGAATAATAATACATAATCACACAAGGACTTACGTTGGCAACATCAAGGCTTGACTTCTGTTCAATGTTGACTTTCTTTGAATATTTCCTTGTCTAGTTGAGTCCTTGATCCTTGATTTGTTGACTCCTTGATCCGTTTACGATGGATCCCGAATCCTCGATTAGTAGGACCTTTGATCAGATCTCATTATAAATCTTCACCTGCACAGTTTTTTAATGTTTTAATTTTTGCCTTTTTCGGACTATGCTCAAGTATTAATGCTCAAATTTACGCTATTTTATCAATGTTTATAAAAGTTATTTAGACCTTTAAGGTTAGAAGAATGTCCAAAACTTATGCCAATTATCAATGCATAATTACCCTGAAACCATTAATATTTCAAATATTTAAGAATAAAACAAGCTTTTACTTTTAGTTTTAAAATTGTGGTTGGTGAATCACAAAAGGTTCTTCAAAGTTCCAAGAGCTCATCAGTGTCTGGTTGTTCTATCACATGTTTCTGTTCACTTCAACTTAACATGGGGTTTATTATTTTTACACTAAAAAATGTGAAATTTGCTCCTAACAAAATTTGTTGGAGCACCGGAGCCATTTTTAACCTAGTAGCCCGAATCATCAAATTTTGATGAATGATGAATTTAATCTAACCGCATTTGACCACATTTTTAAAAATGCTAAGACTAGGAGAGTTTAGTTAATATTAACCCTAGAACTTTACTTTTAAATTAGGTTTAAGACTAAACTACGTAAGTTTTTTTTAAAAAGAAGGGGGACATTCAATTCGTCTTGCTGCTGTCATGTTTCATGGGACACCCTGTATATGGATATTATAAATAAAATAACCATTATTATACAGGGTGTCCCATTAATTCCGACAATTTTTAAACAGCTATTTCTCTGCAAGTTTTTTTTAAATGCTTCAGACAATTTTAACACTAGAGCTGAATTATGCATGCAAAGATGGCGGTCATTTAAACCCCTGTTAAATAAAAAGAAGTAAATCCAGTTAACAAGCAAAACATTCATATGTACAGAAATACAATAATGCATACCAATATAATATTTCTGTGTATAACTAGACATTGTCAGAATTAATCTGTATGTTTTCTGTAATATCATTCAGATTAGTTTAATTTAATCAAATGAAAATTTTCAAAGAAAAAAGTTATCATGCCATATTTCCAGATTCGGAATGTTTTGTCGAAAATCCATTTTGAAATGTCAACTGCAAATAAATTCTTCTGAAATGGAATCTGTCAGAGATAAGGGAGCCCGGTGTCACATGAGATTCTGTTACATCTATCACAACAAACTTATGCGATGTGTAGTCAACAGTCTGAGCTTTTGTTTAGTGAATCTTGAGATCAAACATTGCTCTCCGTCTTCTTCAGCAGTACTATCAACACTCAACAGTGATAAATCAATAACTTCAGTTGCATTGATCCTCAAATTTATAGTTGCCCACATTGGATATCTAGATAAAACGTTCAATATTGTCAATATCCGAAACAAAGTTCTGCTGAGGCTTTATTCTAATAAAATTAGTCTAGCTGTTAATTGTTATTGAAACGAATTTTCCACAAAAACGTCATAGATACACACATTTTACAATATATTATAAACAAACAAAATGAGTATTTGCCACAAGGTCTGATTTTCTAATCCCTATTTCTTTGCAGACCTCAGATATTTCAAACTATGAATTCTGCTAGGTCAAATAATCTAGGTTTGAATCATCAAAAGATTACACCATCAAGTTGCAAAGAAAGAAGATATGACAAAATTATGTTTTTTTTTAATTGGTCTAAATGGGTCCAAAAGTGATGTTTCCTTGTTATGATTTTATTTATTTCCTCACATAAATAGCTTAAAACACCTGTTTTAATCATACAAGTAAAATTTGAATATAACTTTTATATCTTGTGCATAAACTAGCTAGGCAATATTAAAAATCTTAGGAATTTTTGAAATTATGAAGAGCCAGACATAAAGTTACACTTGGACGTTAAACGACGTGACACTGGTGTGGTGAACAGGGTTTTTGAAGAAGGATAAAATCCCACGAGAACTGTAATAAATATTACTTATTTTATTGCGCTGGAATTATCTAAACAGATTGTTTTTTTTCAAACAGATAAAAAAGTATTGGAGAAGAGATTATTTTCTTTTCAACTGAGCAAAAACAAAATAGTCCAAAAGATCTAATTCCGTAAATGAATGTAGAGTTATTAGGATCTTTTTTTGTTAAACTAAAGAAATAAAAATTAAGTAAAACATTGAACAATAAAGAGTCCTAAAGATAAAGATATAAAGCAGGAATTAAGTGGTTTGTTTTGAAATTTGAGACATGAACAAAAGAAGATATTTTAAGATTTTGTAATAAAAAATTGAGTCTTTGGCACAAGCTCAAAACTTTTAAATGTTGAATTTTAATATCTCAAATTTAGATTATTAGACAAAACAGAATTCATAGTTTTTAATATCAAAGGTCTACGACATTGTGTTGCAGAGATACAGGGGTCATTAAGTCAGAGTTTGTGACAAATACTCAATTTTATTAATTCAACTTGATTACTGTCGTTTGAGAACTAAAGGCGGGTAAACCCTGACTAAAATATATTTTTAGAAATAATTCATCTGTATTCTGATTTCTTGGTTTAGTATTTTGATCAAATCAAATTTAAATTTATTGTTTCAGTTATCAGTGGCTGGGAACAAACTGGTGAGGATGTTTCAAGTTTGTAAACTGCAACATCTTAAAGGTTAGATTATTTTTTTTTAATCTATATTGTTTGCTTGTCTGTTTGTTTGTTTGTAACTAATTAACGTCAAAACGGCTGAACTGATCGGGTGCACGGACCCCAGGGAAAGTTTGCATGAAATATCCTTGTTTCTTTAGTTAAAATTAACAAAGAAATTAGTTTTGGGCACAAAGCCAATTTTTGTAATCCCTTTATCTTTGCAACCTAACAAAGATTATTTGTTCTAACAGAACCCATAGTTAAAAATATCTAAAGGTTTACGACATCGGGTTACTAAGATATAGGGGTTAGAAAATCTGAGTTTGTGGCAAAAACTCAGTTCTTTTCTAAATTAATTATGGTTTCTCAATGCAGATACAATGAAAGAAATTGTGAAAATTTAAAAATTTTAACATTGTAACTTTAATACAGGTAAATTTAAAAGGCAGTGTTAGAAATGGGAGGTTCACTTAAAATTATGTTGTTATGATTGCAAAATGTATGTATGTATGTAAACCCTCCTTTTTTTACTTAATACTACTTAATTTTGTAAAGATTAGTTTAATTTCGAGAAATGAAATTCCCCCTTTTCATTTCAGGAATTTTTTATGCTTCCTTAAATGTTCATTAATTCCCCCCTTCCTTGTTCGTTGTTTTACGATCCATATAAACCCAAATGTTAGATTGTATAAAAGGTAAACTCAAGCAGGAAATATAATTTAAATATTCCAGCACAGTAGCTAATGTTTAACAACTTTAAACCATAGCAGTGGATGTACAGGGTTACCCACAAAGGATGAGACGTCAGAGACGATTATACAAAATTAACACTGTCAGTTACTTTATATTTTTGATTCCCTGCAACTACTGTAAACTAGTTTGTCTCTTTGCCAAATCATTAGATAAGGCAATGAATTACTTTATCTAGGGCAGATGATTTAATTTAACTTTGGGATCGGCATATTTTAAGAGTTTCCAATCATCAATTACAGTCTCATCCTCTGTGGGAGGTTACGTTCATAACATAGAAACAAAATCTGTTTAAAATATCATGTTGTTTTAAAGCTGAAAAATCAATACTAAAGTTTAGGCTGCATGTCTACTGTAAATAATGTTTATTTTTATTAAATGAATTTTTTTTCCCTAAATGATGTTATGTTTGTTTGCGTCAAATGCCAAAATTTTTTAAATGTTTTTTCGCAGAATTGGGTATCTAATCAAATTTTGTTAGGGGTTAAAAACCAATTTTTAGGTTTAAGTTTCAAACTTGATGAGCAATTTTTTACTTTTTTCCCCTGAGGATCAAAAATAATTTCCGATAATTCTTGAAAATATTTACCTAAAGTTTTAATTTAATTATTAGAAACTTAATTTTTAATTTTTGGCCTTTTAACTGGATTTCAGTGGTTTTCCTGTAAACATTATATCTGGTTCCTCGAACTTAATTGCATACCAAATACCCATTGGGGGAATACATAAAACACGGAATATGCATTTCAGGGGTGTATATATTCGCAAAAAATCATTTCCCCCCTTTAGAAAATCATTTATTTGTCCAGAAGTTATGTATTAGGCTTTCAACATTTCTCCTATTTAACGACTTCAGTTCAATCATTCCTTACAAAGGGGTTGATTCTGATTAGTAGTATTTTAGTCATTTGATTAAAAACAGTTGGCCACATAAATATAACATTTTTCTTTTACAAGATATTATTTTCAACAGAATCCTTTTTTCTGTAAGCTAACTCCAAGAAGGCTTCAATATTTTTTATTAAAAATTGCAGCATTCCTTAGATTATTAAATTTTGTAGACAATGTAGTAGAATATAATATTATTTTAGTTAAATTGTCACATGAAAACTTATTTCAAAATAAAAATTTTGCTTCTTGCAAACAAAGATTGTACACAGAATTTGAGAATACATATGAATTGAGATTTTTTATTAGGACAAAAGTTTTTCATTAAATTTCTAAAATTAATGTATAAATTTTTTAGTTCTGGATATGTCTAAGAACAGTATTGTATCCATAGAAGGACTGAAGGAGATCAAATTACTCTCTTGGCTCAGGTATCAATTCATTTTTACAAAACTTTTGCAAATATATAAATTATTGATTCTTGTGTCTTTGACATTCAAAATTCAAATGCGAGAACTTTTTAATCAAACATTGAAGTTAAAAATGCGAAATTGGACTTTTTTTTGTAATATGTATTCTATGTAATATAAAAGGTTTAATTACATGTTTAAAGGATTTTAACTAATCCTGTTCTAGTTTATCTAAGAATAGTATAAAAGGTTTACAGGTTTAAAGGACTATCCAATCATGGTTCTAGTTTGTCTAAGAATAGTATAAAAGGTTTACAGGTTTAAAGGATTATCTAATCATGTTCTAAGTCGTCTAAGAATAGTAAAAACGGTTAACACTTTTCAGGTTTAAAGGATTAAACTAATCCTGTTCTAGTTTGTATAAGAATAGTATAAAAGGTTTGCTGGTTTAAAGGATTAACTAATCCTGTTCTAGTTTGTCCAAGAATAGTATGAAAAGTTTACTGGTTTAAAGGATTATCTAATCCTGTTCTAGTTTGTCTAAGGATAGTATGAAAGGTTTACAGGTTTAATGGATTAACTAATCCTGTTCTAATTTGTCTAAGAATAGTATACAAGGTTTACAGGTTGAAAGGATTATCTAATCATGTTCTAGTTTGTCTAAGAATAATATAAAAGGTTTACAGGTTTAAAGGATTAACTAATCCTGTTCTAGTTTGTCTAAGGATAGTATGAAAGGTTTACAGGTTTAATGGATTAACTAATCCTGTTCTAATTTGTCTAAGAATAGTATAAAAGGTTTACAGGTTGAAAGGATTATCTAATCCTGTTCTAGTTTGTCTGAAAATAATATAAAAAGTTTGGAGCACCTGAATCACAATATCCATCTAGAACACGTAGACATCTCAGCTAATCAGGTATTAAACTTAAAGGGAGTGTTCGCGAAAAATGAAAGGGGGTATAGGCTTAATGCGATAAAAAAGCGCTTTTGATCGCTACTAATCTTACTTCTATCCGTTGCGTCTATAAGGAGAAAATTGTTAAAGACGTGACAAACCGAATAACTTACTGGCCATAAAAATTCAGAAAATTGCAACATATTACTTAGACCGTAAAAAATCAATTAAGTTTCAAACGAATCATTTCAATATGACAACCTATAGTCATCGATTATCTTTCGCCACATTTGTATATAGTTTATATTTTATAATATTTTATTTTTTAGAAAACGTTTTTAACGGATTTCAAAAATTGTGAGTGGTGCGCGGCATTCTTAGATAGTTGCGCAAGCGACAAGAGAAATAAACAAATTCAAAACAAATTAATCAAAAAATATTATAAAATATAAACTATACACAAATGTGGCGAAAGATAATCGATGACTATAGGTTGTAATATCTGAATGATTTGTTTGAAATTAAATAGATTTTTTTACGGTCTAAGTCGTATGTTTCATCTTTCTGAATTTGTATGGCCGCTAAGTTATTCGGTATGAGACGTCTTTAACAATTTTCTCCTTAACCTCCGATCTTTTCGAAGGCCATTTTATGTTTTTTTGAATAAAAGCAATACTTTACTTAAATGAATAAGATCTTTGTTTTAACCTTTTTTTGTGGTTAATATAGATCACTTGACAGTTTGAGTTCTTAGAAATTGTTTTATTTCTTGATGTTGATTTATTTGCTTTGATGATTTTCTGGTGAGTTTTTAAGATTTATTTTATCAAAACCGGATCAACATCAAATGAATCCTAAACAGGGGTTACAGCAAGAAATATATAGACCAGGAACCGCCATATGTCATGCGTCAAATCTGTGTACTACAGTGGGAGGAGATCAAAACAAAGAATTCAGGGGCAACGCATCATTTTTGAGGGAAAAGGGCTCAAGGGGTGGAATAAGAATATATTGCTAGCTATTGTATTTTCCATATTGACCAGAAAGCCAAAAATTATAAGTATTCGCTCTAACTTGATATATTAACTTGTTTTTTTGTTGGACTGTAATATCACATCAGAGGTTTAGTCCTCTCCCTTCAACTGCTGTGGGGGCTCTGAGTTTGTTTACATTCCTCCCACAGTAAATAGTACAAAATATGCGTATATCTGAGTTGGGTGTTCCTGTATATAGTTCCTTGATTAGAAGGTTGTGCGATGTGCATTGTACAGATTAGAATTAATATACCCCTTATTGGTAGCCTGGTTTGCCACTTCAACTAAAGTAAATTGCGCGTAAGATTGAATTCATGAACGTCTTTAACCATAACCCCTTGAATTGAAGGAATTGAAGAGCTATTGAGAAAAACAAAAAAGTGTTGAATCTCTTATGTGTAGCTGGATAAATATATTTTCTTATTCGTCGAGCTCACAAAGTCGTACAATGTCCTAGTTAGTTAGTCCTAAAATAATATTTAATTGAAACTGAACAGAAAATGAGAATATGTGGAGGCAATAATGAAAATGAATGAAAAGTTAATTTCTCAAATTACTGCAACTACTACTAAAATAATATTTAATTGAAATTATACTAAAAAGAAAATGAGAATAGATGGAAGCAACAATGAAAATGAATGAACAGTTAATTTCTCAAACTGATAGAAAATTGATGAACCAAGAATATAGATTCCATTTATTCTGTATTATACTAGAGAAAGAATATAAAGTAAGAATACCGGGGAATTGGGTTAAGCTTCTTATTCTCAAGAAAATCGTGGATTTTGGGAAATTATATAGAGTTGTCAGGGTTTGCACAAAAACTAGCCTAAATTGTCAAGTACTAGCTTAACTTTGCTACTTAAAAGAAAGAGAGGGGGGGGGGAAGAATTAATTTTTCTTTTCATAAAAAAAAATATTTTTGATAAAAAAATTTCATTTATTATTTCATTTTCTAAATGTTCAAAGTCAATCCTTCTCCCTGCAGTGAGGAGAGGGAAGGGGGGGGGAGTAACTTTTTAGTAAAATTAATCGATAATTTGATAAAATGAATAATAATAGAATTACAAATTATTTGGGAACATGGAGTGCATCATCAACACTTGGTTAATAAAATAAATTTTAATTAAAAAAAATAGTCTTTAGCTTTCGTTTTGTTTCCTGTGCTTTGAATTTCAATAAAATTGAATGGTTAGTCAGGAAGCAATTTCCTTTTTAAGTTTATTATATATGTAGAAGTTAAGGAGATATTGATCTACCAGCAGTTGTAATTGATATCATGTTGATACCAGTTTCCTTGGATTTGAATATACAAGATTACCCACAAAGGATGAGCCTGTAAAGACGACCTGAAACACTTAAAGTATGACGATTTCTAGGTTGAAAAATCAACTATATACAAATGTGGCGAAAGATAATCGATGACTATAGGCTGTGATTTCTGAATGATTTGGTTGGAATTAAATTGATTTGTTTACGATCCGAGTTGAATGTTGCATCTTTCCGAATTTGTATGGACACTACGTTCTTCGGTATGAGTCGTTTTTAACAATTTTCTCCTTATAGACGCAACAGATAGAAGTAAGATTAGTAGCGATCAAAAGCGCTTTTTTATCGCATTAAGACTATAACCCCTTGAATTTTTCGCGAACACTCCCTTTAAGAACTAGTTAAGGACATCTTATAAACTATAGTTCAGATTAACAGCTCAAGATCTTTAATTACAATGGAGTCCTCAAAACAAAACAAAACTATTCTTCAGGAATACTTTTATTAATATTGATTTACTTCTGATACTGCAGACTAAAGAGAGATTGTTATTCTGTCTCTGTCAGTTCATCTTCTAAATTTCTATTCTAAACCCATCAGTGTTCAAGAGGGGGGAAATCAGTTTTAGAGAGGGGCGGAAGGGGAATTAGAAATTTTCAATTGATATTATGGCTCAAATATTCGAAGATTACAGATGGTCATGTCGTTTTTGTGAACGAACGCAATTTTTGAGAATGAACTAAATTTTTCGTCAACGCTGGTGTCGAACCATTTGGACCATTCAGAGAAATGAAACAGCGATCATTTTTTAAAACATACGATTTAAATCGTTCAAACAAACTTGAAAACACAGATCTTATTTTACTGAATGAACGAATTTTCCAAAAGAGTTTGACAAAAACGATCGTTTTTCACTGAACGAACGATCCCATCTCCACCAGAGATTTATTAATAAACAGAGAGAGTTAAATTATGAAAACCATCTTAACTACTATTCCTCCACTTCTCATCTCAAATTAAACTTGTAGTTAACCTAGCCGTGTCTAGTTCTACTACTCCTCTGTTTAAATTTAAAAGAACGGAACATATTGTCTCTATATCTAATTTTCTAATCCTTATTTCTTTTATCTCTACTATTTTATGTTTTAGACACTAGACCAAACTAAGAATTTGCTAGTTTTTTTTTGTAATAGTTTGAAATATCAAAGGTTTGTAACAATCTAGCCCTCTCTCTCCTTAACTTTATCAGCTTAAATGCGCTGTCAAAAACTATAAACTCTCTATCTATCCAGATATATTTCTACTATCCGTAAATAACCAGAGTCTGCATTGAACTGATATTTATTTAAAGGAATCAATATTTGCCCAGACCTGTGAGGCCGGTCAGCGCGACAAAATATCAAAACATATATTTTACTAAGATAAAGACAAAATTTGATAAGTATAGCGTTTACATTACAGGTTTACACCATAAAGTTAAAAAGATTTATCGATCAGAAACCTAGAGTTTATTTAAGTATTAAGTAATCGTTACAAAAGTTCAGAAAAACAAAAAAGTGTAAATAAATTGTTTCTATCAAAGTCTAAAATTTTAAAAAGATTGAATCACAGAATCTCAGAAAAGTTGCAAAATTGTAATTAGAAAATTTGCAATTTTCAGTTCTGGTATAAGTTTTACGGAAATATTGCTTTTCAATGGTTCTTAAGGTTTCAATTGAATAGCGTATATTTAATCCTTTAGAATATATAAAGAAGAAAGGAACTAGAGAATTTAAATAACTTTTCCTTAAAAATTAGACCAGAACTGAAAATTGCGAATTTTAGTACTGCACTGCATCTGTTTCCTTATATTCATGATTCTCTGCAACTGTACTGCACTGCATCTGTTTCCTTATATTCATGATTCTCTGCAACTGTAAACTTCTTTCTTTCTTTAACAAATCATTTTAAAAGCCATTAAAAGACTATATTTAAGGTCGAAGATTAATTTAACCTTGGATTCGTCATATTTTAAGTGTTTCAGGTCGTCTTTACAGTCTTATCCTTTGTGGGTAATCTTGTATGTACGATCATGAACTTTTGACCCAATTTGCCCTAAATTTTGATTAGGAACTTTATAGAACCACAGGAATGTTCTTATAGTTTGGTTTACAAGTTCTAAGTTGAGTTTTTCTGTCTGTCTGTTTGTCTTTTTGTTTTGTGTTTTATTATTTTATTATTTTATTATTATTTTATATAAAAGTTGACCCACTAAACTTCAATTGTTTAATCAAACAGCCAAACATAGATTACAATTTTATACATATATTTGAAAATGTTTACAGACTTTTAACGTGAAATTGTTTTTATTTTAATTTGTCTATCAATAAAAAACAGAAAAAAATAATAATTTCCCAGATTTAAGCTTTTTATCGATTGGTAAATTGTTTTGTGATAAAATTTGTAATTCCTGGATGGTTATAAACAATTTTTTTATTTCTGCTGAAGAAATTTTGAATGATTTCCTGTATTTTTATTATCATCAGTCGACCTAATTTTATTTATTCATAATTGGTAAATATTTTTTAAAAAACGTTTCCATCTCTATTTTTCACCCCTTGAAGCTTATGCCACAGTATTAAGAGGAAGTGTCTGATGAGTTCACTTAAGAAAAATTACATAAATAATTTATAAACACTTGGGATGGAACCGTTCTCGGCTAAGAAAACCTAGAACGGAACATGGATGGAACAATTGGAAGAAAAGAAACAAGAACGGAACGATCTAGCTGAAGACCCTCATTCTAGAACGGAACGGATTTACGGAAAGATTTAAAAAAAGTCAGAATGTCCTATCCCCCATCCTTAACAACATATGTTCATCAAGCTGGAGCAATATTCTTTTTGTATTTCAATACTAAGGGTTGACATTTGTATATAGGTGATGTGTCTAATCTATCCCGTCTATCTAGACTAGATCAACTAACTAGGAGAACCTCTAATAGACATATAACTATTTATAGGTGATGTGTCTCATCTATCCCATCTATCTAGACTAGATCAACTAACACTGTCCAACAACCCTTGCATTAAGCAACCAGAAGATATTCAGTAAGTATATTTATTATTATTATTATTATTATTATTATTATTATTTATTATTTATTATTATTATTATTATTATTATTCAGTGGCGTAAATAAGGGGGGTTATTGGGGTTATTTACCCCCCCCTGGGTTTACAG